GCCTGTGATAAGCAACCGGACTGGATCCCTCCCAGAATATAATGAGGGTAGTGTGCTCACTGTGTTGTGAAAAAAGAGGAGGGGGGGGGGGGGGGAACCCCTATAAGACACTCACACTGTCTTCATCAGACCCAGACAGCAGCTGCCACATACCGATCAGCAGATGGCATGGGACAGATCCAAGAAATAAGGAAAGTGAAGAGAAACACAAAGACAAGGCATTGAGGCCAAGCGGCCTAGCTCAGTTGGTTGAGCATGTAAGTGGTACGCCGGAGGTTGGGGGTTCAATTCCCCACCTCATCCATTGGGTTCCCCACGACCTCCTGTGGCATGCTTCGGTTTCACCGGTTGGGAAAGTCAGCTTGTCCCTCCTGGGTCGTTGTGGAAGTTACATTTGACTTTCCAGCCCGCACCAGGTGTTAGGAGCGTGGGTGCTTGCTGCTCTCCGCACAGAGCAGAGTCAGGCAGGTGTGGACCCATAACCTTAGGATAGCTTAGCTTCAGCTAGTAGACCCATAACCCTATAGATCTCCTGCTTGTCCTAGATCGTCTTGGTGTGTGGATGGATCCCTGAAGACAAGCCTGCATTTCAAAAAAAAAAAAAAAAAAAAAAAGGCATTGAGAGTCTGAAAACAATCAATCTGAGTGATATAGCTAGGCACTCAGACAATGCCGTCACATCATCACTCGGAGCGGCAAGGAGGGTAACATACGTGTTAGAAGTGTTCCTTGTGCAGACACACACATGGGGAGATGACCATTGATGATGAACGAGGAGAGTAAGACGAATGTGGGAGAAGAAGGAGAGAGGTAGCCCAGATACAAAGCGGATATGTTACGGTCCCTCTCAACTCCTAATTTCCTAAACGTCGAGTCGGAAAGTGGGAGAAGTCTCCCCGGAATAGTCGCCAAGTCTCTAATCTCTCTTCCGCGGACGTCAGGAAGGACCAGGCGGACAAGTAAAATTCGGGAAGGACCAGGCGGACAAGAACAAAAAGAAGAACCTCCCCCCCCCCCCCCCCCCCCCCCCCCCCCCCCTCTCTCTCTCTCTCTCTCTCTCTCTCTCTCTCTCTCTCTCTCTCTCTCTCTCTCTCTCTC